AGCTGTTGGTGGCACTGCTGTTGCTAGTGTGTTGTTTGGGGAGTATAATCCTCCAGGACGTATGCCCTTAACAACTTATACATTCACTTCTAGCTCTCATATACCTGATTCTACAGATTATAATATGAATACACCACCTGGTCGTACTTATCGATATTACACTGGTATTCCTGAAGTACCCTTTGGATACGGACTCTCGTACACCACCTTTGCATACTCTGACCTATCAGTGTCAACTGATCACATAAAACCATGTCATAATATAATTGTAACGGTAACACTAACCAACACTGGTAGCATGTTAGGTGAAGAGGTTGTGCAGGTGTACCTCACTCCTCCATCATCCCTTCCTGATTATACTCCTAATGTACAGATGGTTGGTTTTGCTAGGGTATCATTGAATCCGTCTGATAAGGAGATCCTTCATATTTCTGTATCAGCATATTTGATGTCGTTTGTTGATGATAAAGGTGAGAGGTTAATATATCCAGGGAGCTACACCTTTAGTGTTGGTGGGGCATTACCAGGGAAGACTACAGCAGTTGGTGACGTTACTATTGATACAGTATCATTTGATATTGATGGAGACACTAGCCAACCAGTTGCAGTGTCTTCCTGCACTGACATTCCTAAATGTCTTGCTTGCTAATTAGTGCTTCATTTATTTGCTAATAACATTTCTACATTGAAACAGAGCTCAGTACTTTCAATTATTCTGTAACGAGTGTTTTAACATTTTGAATTAGAATAATTAACCATTCAATTAAAATAATGAATTTAAACATTAGTAAACATTATATTAGAGCAGCAATAAAATAAATAAATTGATTACAGAGGAAGTCTAGTGTTTTGCAGCATTTTATTTTCAGTTGTACAGTTCTACATCTTCATTATTAGTAGCAACATCAGCTCTAGCTCTTGGAACTCTCCCTCGTCCTCCTCTTCCAAACTTTCTCTTCTGATCAATAACCTACAGTACATGTAATACACAATACAGATATGAACATGTATTCATAATACCGTAGATCAGGAAATTTTTGTTGCTAAAATATTTTTGCGGTTGAAGTGACCTGCGAAATTTTGACACACGAAATATTTTCTACAGTGAATAATAAGATTACCGGAATTATTCTAACATGCAGCAGTGCACGCATGAGGCTCTTCTAAAAGCCCAATGAAGGCCTGAAGCTCTCATGCAAAATGCTCCTTGTCAGTTTGAGAATTGTCACGAGCAACTTCCATTGAATAGCTGTCCATCATCATCAAGAGTTAGTAGCCACTTGTCCAGGTTATGATGCATCCAAAATTTTTCATGTTGAAAAAAATTTGTGGATGGGTCAACCAGCGAAAATAAAACACCTTGAAAAAATTTCACACCAATTATTTTTAACATGAAAATTTCCCGATCTACGGTATTGGAATACTGTTGATTAGTTAAATTTCGATCTGACTTTAAAATATTTAGCATGATTGAAGTTTACTCATATTCAAGGATTCATAGGGTTGCAAAACAAATAAGCTGACTACCGTATAGCTTGAAAATTTGGAGTGTTAAATTTGGCGAGTTGACTTTATAAGAGGTTTAGAGGTTAAAATTTTTTGCAAAATTTTAACTCTGTGCATACTTCTATGGAACTCTATCAAATTGGAGACTAAAATTTCGGCAAATTAATTTCCATTTGCCAATTTTGCCAAATTTTTACTCCACTAAATTTCTAGCTATATGGTAAATTTCTACATGGCTGACATATTGAAAAACGCAATAAAATTGGAGGTATTCTTTGAGCCAATTTTAGTGACACTTTGTGCACATTAATTACATTAAATTAATCCTCACATATTGATCTTTTGCAGTGATGGAATCCTGTCCATGGCCACATCCACTAACAATACACTCCTCCTCTTCCTCACTGTCATCATGTCCTCTTTTCCTTCCCTTACCTTTTAACGAATAACCACAACCTCTCCCACGTAATTAGCTCCTTCCACTATCAGAAACAAACTACAAATACAATAGACCTAATTAATACTGTATAGCTTGATATTTTCGTGGGTCAATATTTTTGTGGTTTGCTCCTAGTGGGGCAATTTGTGGTTTAATTTTCGTGGTTAACAGTTTACATAGCCTGCATGTAAGGGGATGGCACTTCAATGATTTTGTGGGTTTTAATTTCGTGGGCAGCCCATAACCACGAAAATCACGAAATTTACATTCCACAAAAATTTCAAGCTATAAGGTAATAATTATTAAACTTATTAACTTCATGTAGGGGTTCCGAAACAGATTTTGATTTGCTTTACTGGGTCTGATAAACGCCCTGACCTATATTCAATGAAACTAAGTAAGCATCATGTGACTCACTTTTAGTAGAGGTTATAGGGGGAAGCAAAGGAGGAGGGGTTGGTGTGCGTGGTTCCAATGATGGTATAGGAAGGACAGTAGGAATGGAATTAGGGAGAGAAAATCTGACATCATTAAGAGGGAGAGAGATAAGGTTAAAATCAACCCCCATCACTTACCTTCTCTATCTGCATCGTTCAGAAGGTATTGTCATGGCAAAATCTTATTAAATCCAGTCCTCTAATGCTTACTATCTATTATAATTGCAGTGTTTTCCACAAAGCATGCTAAGTGAGTAAAAAAAGAATTCTTTATAAGATGACAAGCACAACAATACAGTACATGGCATTTGGAGCAACTTCAAAAATAAATGATTGATATAAAATCAAATTTTGATCACAATGAGCTTAAACTTTCTACATAACATAAGGTCATGTAGATGCATCAGAAGAAAATTATAAAACTGCAAAATTCACTTTTAGTCGCTTTTGTAAAAATTTGGCCAAATACCCGGTTCAAGGTCTTTGGCCCAAATTTAAAGCAACTTTAAAATTCATAAAAATCTAATTTTGATCGGAATCAGCTAAAACTTGAAACATAGCATTAAAACATGTAGGTGTATCAGAAAAAATATTAAAATGGAAAATTTATTTGTTTTCATTTTTCTGGTGAAATTTGGCCAAAACCTGTAGGGAAGGTTTTTGGCCAAAGACCATGTACAGAGTCTTTACCAATTTTGGAGCAACTTAAAAGATTCTCCAACAAGAAACTGAGTAATACACCAAAATGCAGTGGGAAACATGATTATAACTAACAATATTTGTAGGTATAAAATTAAAAATGATGCAATAACAAGTACAAAATTGTAACTTTTTTCTATGCCAAAAATGGCAGCAAAAAGGCCAATTTATGTATAAACCCCATTTAAAACAATTATTAGTTAATTACCATTTCTGACTCCACATACTATAGGCTCCCACTCCAGAACTGATAACTGCTTCAACTGATTGAGCAAAATTATTTAAACCTACAGTTTTATTTATTCAATTTTGTGATAAGGTACAAATCATTTTTACCTACTGGTGTCCTGGGTGTCAATTACTGATGAGTAATGATGTAAATGACGGTTCAGTAAATCAAGCAGCTGTGATTTCTCTACTCTGTTTAAAGAGCTAAACAGTGTTGATAAAACTAAAATTTAAAATGAAGCTGTAATTTAATACTTTAACTGGTAAGAGCGATGGAGCTAGCTAGCTCTAGTCTAGTCTCGGGGCCAGCCCCGAGACTAGCTCTAAGCTCTAGTCTTATCAAGTTATCCTATAAGAGAAGAAGATGCCATCGAGATGCCATTGTCTCATTTTACAACTTCACACTTCTGAGGTGGCGCGGTGATGTCATGTGCGCATGCGTAAAGTCACGTGTACCTTGACTTGAGGTCAAAAATTTAACCAAAAATGCCTTCTCTCCTGCATCTATCTTGTTTCTTATATTTTGCTGCATTTTCTATGGGTGCCTATCCTTCAGTTGACTGTGCCAGCTCGCCACAGTCCTCTTACACATTCTGTGATACCAGCAAGTCCCCAGAGGAAAGAGCTACAGATCTGGTATCTCGTCTCACAACGGAAGAAATAATAGCTCAAACCTCCACAATAGCCCCAGCCATTTCTCGCCTAGGTATCAACGCTTACAACTGGCGCTCGAATTGTCTCCATGGATGGGCTAGCTCTGGTGGTCACTGGACGAGTGGCTTGCATTGGACTGTATTCCCAGCTCCCATTAACTTAGGGGCATCTTTTGATCCAGAAATAGTTGAGCAAGTGGGATCAGCCACTTCAACTGAGGGTAGAGCATTGCATAATATAATGCTTGAAGCTGAGAAAGGTGATAGTACTGAAGCAGCTGGACTTAACTGTTTCTCACCAAATGTCAACTTCCTAAGAGACCCAAGGTGGGGTCGACTACAAGAGTCCTTTAGTGAAGATACTTTCCTCCTCTCGGTATTGGGTGCTGCATACACTAATGGTCTCCAAATTGGTGAAGATAAGAATTACCTCAAAGTTGCTGC